GGACTAGCAAGTTTCTATAGGAGATTTGTCAAAGATTTTTCACCTATTACTATGCCTCTAAATGAGCTTGTTAAGAAGCACGTGACATTTAAATAGGGTAAAGCATGTGACATTTAAATGGGGTGAAACACTTTTATGTTTACCTAATTTTAATTAAGTTTTTGAAGTTGAATGTGATGCTTCTGGAATTGGTATTGGTGCTGTTCTAATGCAAGAGTCTAGGCCTATTGCTTACTTTAGTGAGAAATTAAGTAGAGCTTCTTTGAATTACTCTACTTATGATAAGGAATCCTATGCTTTAAAAAGAACTTTAGAAACACGGCAGCATTATTTATGGCCTAAGGAGTTCATTATTCACTTTGATCATGAAAGTTTGAAGTTTCTAAAATCTTAAGGTAAACTTAAAAAGAGGCATACTCGTTGGTTGGAGTTCATAGAGACGTTTTCATATGTCATCAAGCATAAGCAAGGCAAAGAGAATGTTGTTACTGATGCTCTTTCTAGGAGGTATTCTCTTATTACTTCTCTTCATGCTAGATTACTTGGATTTGAATTGTTAGAAGGGTTGTATGACTCTGATTGTGATTTTTCTAAAATTTGGTTTTCTTGTGAAAAGCATAGGGTGAATGGCTTTTATAGATCTAATGGGTTTCTTTTTAAGAAAGATAAATTTTGCATTCTTAATTGCTCTATACGTGAACTGCTTGTAAAAGAAACTCATGGTGATGGTTTGATGGGTCACTTTGGTGTCAATAAAACTTTAGCTCTTTTGCATGAACACTTTTATTGGCCTTATATGAGGAAGGATGTCATTTTTGTTTGTGCTAAATGTGTAACATGTAAGCATACAAAGCTTAAGGTTTGACCTCATGGCTTGTATTCCCCTTTACTTGTGCCTTCCCAACCTTGGGTAGATATTTCCATGGATTTTGTGTTAGGTTTGCCCAGGTCTTAGTCTGGAAATGATAGTATCTTTGTTGTGGTTGATAGATTTAGTAAAATGACTGATTTTATTGCATGTTCCAAAACAAATAATGCTATCTATATTGTTAAATTGTTTTTCAAGAAAATTGTTAGATTGCATGGATTGCCCAAAACCATTGTGAGTGACAAGGATGTGAAGTTCTTTAGCTATTTTTGGAGGATTTTATGGAGTAATCTAGGAACTAAGTTGTTGTATTCTACTGTGGCATATCCCCAAAGTGATGGGCAAACTGAGGTAGTCAACAGAGCACTTACTACCTTGTTGCATGCAATAATCCAAAAGAACTTGAAGAATTGGATCAATTGTTTGCCTCATATTGAGTTTGCCTATAATAGAGCTGTTCACTCTTCTACTTCCTTCTGTCCATTTGAAGTTGTTTATGGCTTTAATCCTTTGTCTCCTTTAGATATATTACCATTGTCTTCTAATGAGCAAGCAAATCTTGATGGCAAGAAAAAGGCTGAGTTTGTGCAAGGGGTTGCATGCCAAGGTGAGAACCAATATAGAGAGGAAGAATGAGCAATACGCTAAGCAAGCTAACAAAGGTCGTCAGAGGATTGTCTTTGAGCCTAGAGATTGGGTTTGGGTACACCTACAGAAGGAGAGATTTCCTAAACAACACAAATCTAAATTACATCCAAGAGGAGATGGCCCTTTCCAAGTCTTAGAGCAGATCAATGACAATGCTTATAAAATATATTTGCCTAGTTCCTATGGTAATGTTAGTGCTACTCTTAATGTGGCTGATTTATCTCTTTTTGACACTACAAATTCGAGGACGAATCCTTTTGAGCAGAGAGGGAATGATGGAGGAGTATGATGTGATTAAAAGCAAGGGCAAGGAGCCCAAACACATGGAAAGAAGTCCAATATTCCGAAAGATCCATTACAAGGCATTGGAGGCCCAATGATAAGCATAAGGACCAAAGCTATGAAGAAGGCCCTGAATTGTCTAATAAGAGAGCTAAAAGAGTTGGAGCCTATTTATTTAGAAGAAACACATTTTAGTGAGCCTAAAAAGAGTCTAAAAATAGTGATCACATTGCTAAAAGTCTAACAAGATGATGTACAAGGCCCATGTGGGGTTCAAATTAAAGAATTCACTTAAAATATCATGTGACAAGCATGTGCCTTGGATAAGGATCATAAGTGACGTCCAAGAATCTTCAAGAAGGATTAAGAAGGCATCATTATGAATTAATTATGATTTAAATTCGTTTTCTTTGAATTTCCTTTTCTTTATTTGCTTTGAATAAGGCCTTTTGGCCAAGAATTGTTCTAGAAGATTATGTTGTGATCTAGTTGCCTATTTTCAAATAGCAGACTTGTTCTTAAAGTTTAAGTTATTTCCTTTTATTTCTATGTAATAAATGATGCCTCCCATAGTCAAATAATCATTAATGAGGCATTATCTCTAGTATTTATGTCTTAAGATGCTGATCCTAGAATGTTCTATGGTTACCTATATATAGACTACATTTTTTGTAATTGAATTTAGACTTAGATGAATGAGAATTGAGTTTATTTCTCTCTGTGTGAGCTTTGCTTGCATCCTTGTATTCATGTGAAAATACTCGACAGTATCAAGGGATTGATCAACCTTGTGGTGTCTTCATGGCTAGGGTTGTAAGAGACAGGTTCTCTTAAAGTCCTACCTAGATCAACCGTCCGTTCATTAATTGATTCTAACCGGTCCGTACATCCCCATCAATTAAGAAAGTCAGGTAAGTTAGTTAACTATAATAAATATAACATGTTTTTTCTAAAATATCTTAATCATCTTCGTTATATCCTGCTTGTTTCCACCCCTATTGGCCTGAGCCTAGCTTGCAACCTGTGAAAGGCCTTTTGTTCGGTTTGAGCCTGGCTTGTATTTAGACCTGGCATGGCCTGTGGGATTAATAGGCTTTTTTTTTTTAACAAATTTCAAACAAACATAAATTAATTCAAAATTACAATAATTCAACCCAACTTATCTAAAATACAAATAGAAAATATGAAATTATCAAATTAACACAATTTGTTTTTGCTAGTTGCTACAATTACAACAAACCATCAAACCGTAAAGTTTTAAATCTTTGACACAATTTCTTCTTCTTGTTCCAACACTTGAGAAGAAGAAATCAAATATGTATTAATTAGATCATAACAAAATTTAATAACTAATAAATCAAAGGGACGCAATAATTAACACTGAAGCTTGATGTTTAATTTCCTTTTCATTAAGTCAATCTTTCAATATGAGTGCTTCTTTTTCTACAAAATCTACATGGCTATTTCCCCCTAATTTTTACTCATATTTTTCCGTAACAAATTATTAAAATAACTATATGGGTAGGGCACGACAATACACCGAGAATACCATGGGAGGTTTAATGCCTTTATGTAATATATACGCCAATAGCCAAATGGCCAAAAGAATAATAAAGAAAAAGAGCTCGTGAAAGAATGGGGACCTGAGAATAAGCCGAGACTATTCTGTATGTATCAATTAAAACATAAGGGCGCGAGTACCAAAAATATGAGAGGCAAAAGGGTACTAGCCTACTTGGACTAAAATCTTACTAATCCAAACTAATAATTAATTATAAGTAAACCAAGCCCATTTATAATTTTAACCTTAAAAAAAAAAAAAAAAGACAACAGGCCCAGGCCACCTGACAGGCCTAATAGGCTTATTATCAGGCTTGAACCTGACCTGATAAAGTAAATAGGTTTTTTTACAGGCCTGAGCCCGTTCAGATATCTAAATAGACTATGCCAGGCCACAAGCCGCCTGGCCTATGTCCAACCCTATTGAGGGAGTATCAATAGGGGTAATTTGGAAAATATTAATAGATATAAGAAATAAGTCTTATATTTAGAACCAAAATCAAATCTACAATTAGGTCTTATATTAAGGATCAGAGGAGTATAATTTATTGTCACATGCCAAAAAATGAATTAAATTGACATAATTTTAGAAGAATTATAGTGGGTCCCAAAAAAAGAAAATAATTGCCAGTAAATCCCAATGACAAGTGAGTACTTGTCATTTTCTGTCTTAAAACTTCTTTATGCAAGTTGCTCTATTGTCATTGAAATTTTTTATTTTTCTTGGGACTCATGGCAATTCTCTCTATGATTTTCCAAAGTTGCCTTTATTGAGCTTTTTTCTCTTTCTATATTTTTATATCATTCTTAATTAAAGATAAAATTAGAAAATGACCATTAATAACCCTACAAATAATTTATATTTAGAGCTAAATTTTTCTCCCATAATTAACTTATAGCTCATTTTAATTTAAATAATCATATTGTGAAGAACTTCATCTTTATGACAAGTGGACAATAATGGCTGGATTCAATTTAATAATAAAATAAAATACATGCCACACAAGTAAATTTCACCCACTAATTAAAATATCAATACAGTGGGACCCACCAAATATTTTGCCTCCCCTCGTACATTACAGCTGGCATTCCCTCGAATAATCACTGATCATCTTCTACTGTTCCATTAAATAGGAACTTTTTCAATCCATTTGCCACATGCTCGATTGCTCGCAAACTTCAGCATACATTTCTGCAAAGTACGAAATCATTTTTTATTTATTTTAATATAAAATATTGGAAAAATTTATGATAAATTGCACTTTTCATAGGTCTATATAAATTATTTCTTAGATTTTATGCAATCTATAAGAAAGACCCATCTAGTTTATATGCCAAATTAAATGAGCCCCTTTTGCACTGTACAAATCTAAAAAAATAGACTTATGAACAATGCAAATTAAAAATGATTGAATTACATGATTTACAAAAAGTCCTTTCTCTTAATAAATGCTATTTCTAAATGAAAAATAAGCAAATTAAAATGGTTATCAGTGCTTTATTATCATCTCCCAACCGATTCTTTCACTCATGACTTGAACAATTTAGTAAGTAAACAATAATTAATTAACTAACTAATTACTTAAGTTATTATAATATTTAATGTTAATGGTGTAATAATTATGAAATTACCTATATGACCTTAAGGACCCCAAAGAGAATCACTCTGCATATTCTCCCATGTCTCATCATCATTTTCCCCAAACGTCGTCGGATACTGTTCATCCAGCATCAGTGTCTCAGACATTTGCATCCACATCTTCGGTGAGTCCAATGGCGACTCATTGATCGCCTGAATCTGTGTCGGTGACAGCCTCACGGTGGCTGGCGCCACCCCACCACGGATGCCGACGGCACCGGCAGATGGGTCGACCACGTCCCCTTCTGCTGCTGGATTGGTCCTCAGCCTCAAAGCAGCCTCATGTGCGGCCATGCGAATGTCGTCGGCATTATTGGTCGCCGGACGGGGAAGGCTTGTGGCGAGCTCCGGGAAGTTGAGCCTGGCATCACGACCTCGGAAGTGAAGAGCGGCAACGTCGTAGGCTGTCGCGGCCATCTCCGATGTCTCGAAGCTTCCAAGCCAAATTCTGGTTTTGGTGCCTGGCTCACGGATTTCAGACACCCATTTGCCCCACTTCCTCTTTCGAACGCCCCTGTAAGGAGAAGATGAAGCGCCATGGGAGGTCGTAGCAGAGCTTCTTGAAGAAGAAGGCATGTCCATGCACAGAAGCTTGGAAGGCTAAGAGCAAATTGTCGAAAAATGAAAATGAAAATGATGGGATTAATTTGAAAGTAAAAGCTGGTAGTGAAAGAAAGTGTGGGGGATGAAGAGGTATTTATAGATGGATGAGTTCAGTGAGCTTCCTGGTAGTTGCACGAACGAGCGTGCATGTACAAAATCTCTGTTCTTTTCTGTTGATCCTACTAATTCTAAACAAGGTACAGAATCGAGATGTGGGTAGGTCGAAGATATTTTGTTTTTTGATTAAAACAATGCTCTACTTTAAGTCTAGGATGCTACCTTTGACACAAGTTTTAATTTGATTATTGTGTATATTTAAGAATTTTTAATTAATTTTTTTATTTTAGTTCTTTTTTGTGTGCAATTTCACTTGTTTTTCTATGTGGTATATATAATATAAACATTCCCAACTAGATTCCATTGTTTTATCTTGTCTTTGATATAAGAACTTTTTATAATATTTTAACCTGTTAAATTCCTAATTTTTTTAAAAAAATCATAATATAATATTATAATTCATAGTTTTAGACTCTGCTATTCTACAATTTTCAGTTTAGCTTTGCGGATCTAAAATCTACAATTAATTCTCTATAGCTTATGTTTTCTAATATTCTTTATCTCATCAAATTTTTATCTATATTGTGATACTTTATTAATGTTAAAATATTGAGGAAATAAGCATGAGTTTTGAATTAAATAAAAACTAAAACTATATATTTTTATTTCACTTTTATCATTATAGTTCAAAAATTTGCAATTAATTTTTTCCATTAATATTTTAAATTCTCAATATTTTGCTAAATGATTAATTAAAAATATTTTTTTGCTGTTATTAAATATTCAAATAAATTTTAGTATTTTCTCAATAATTTAGAATTGTATCATCGAGTAAATTATAATGATATTCAATAAATTTTATCATTTTTAGTATTTAATTTTTTTGAATTAAATAAGTTGCAATAGTTATAATTTACCTATTTATGAAATTATAATGATATTCAATAAATTTTATCATTTTTACCAATTATAATTCTATTAATTTTATTAATATGTCCGTATTATAAAAATAAACATAATAAAAGCACATATAATCAAGAAAAAGTATCTTACATGTTTGATATAATACGAAAAAAAATATAATGACAAGGATAAAATTAGAGACTATTCAAATTATAAAGAATTAATCAAAAAGTTTTATACAATAAAGGAAAATTAAAAAAATATAATTTCATTTTGCCGAAAAAATAAAAAATATATAACTTTAAGTACTCACATATTAATTATATTTAATTAGTTATGAAGATAATGTTTTTTGTTTTAAGGTTTTAATTCGTTTTGTGGTTGAAAGTGAAAGTGTGAGGAGAGCAGTGATAAATATCATGGGCATGATGAGCATTGTGAAGAACCAGTGGATAAAAAAAAAATCTTAAGAAATGGAGATCGAACAACATCAGACAAAGGGCGGTTATCTTCTTTAACGCGTTTTTCGATCTTAGGTGTCATTTGGGGTTAGGACCCACTGATCCAAAATTCATACAACACCTAAAAATTATCTTAGATCAGCATCTTCAATATTATATTTCAGGTGGCAAAGAAGTTGTTTTTACTTTTTGTATCTTCTTGACATATGTTATCAACTACGTAACTACAAAATTTAAGAAGAAATATACTTAAAGAACTAAATTAATAATTTTTTATTCCTAAGAATCACTATCGATGCATATTTTGGGTTCTACTTATGGTTAAATTTGTATTGTTTCAATGGTAAATTTTTTTTTCTCTGATTTTGAATATAAAGGTTTCTTAGGGACTTACTTTGGGATAAAATGTAATGCATCAATTCATTTTGTCTTTTATACTTATAATTTTTTTAAATTATCCCCATAATTACATATATTAACAGAGTTTCCATCAAGAACAATTTTAATGCAAATAATTAAATATAGTATTTTAGGAAAATGAATACATATTTCTTTTAACAAACAACTAATTTTACTAATTTTTTAATTACTTATATTTGGTTTTTACATGCAAGATCAGAGAGAGTATTAAATATCTTTCGGTAAATACTCATAAATCAGTTGGGAAATTGCGCTATCTCAATGGTAAATTTGAAGGCGTTCTCAATAATTAGTTTGTAATCAAATTTGATACTTCAATATAATTCTCCCAAAAGTTTATTCATTAAATAAATAAATACGTAAGAAAATTGGGGATAAATCCCCATTTGACAAATTAATTCGGGAATGGGACATGAAATAATGTCAAAGTGTAAGATCCTTAAGTGCAAGTAAGTGTGATAGGGGAAAAGAAAACACTACATTGCCCTTATGAAGAATGCTTATTGCATATTACATTTGGTTCTTAATAAAAGAGCTAGTTAACTAATTTTAGTAGATTAAAAAAGTTTGTTAAGTTAGTTACTCATAATAATTAGGTGTCGTCTTTCCTATAATACATGTACTAATCATATATATTAGCTAAAACAACTATTTAATAAAACATTTAATGTATGCAAAAACAATCATTAGTTGAAACATTTAACGTATGCAACTATTACAATGACTACTTTAAAAAAATGGATAAATAACGAACAAAGTGATTTGGGATCTTATATTTATGATCAAACTGAATGTTAAACTACCTCTAATATTAATGACCAAAGGTAGCACTGGCATATAGTGGATAATAATTGCTTATGATAGAGGCATGATGTTGATTGCATATAACGAATGACCATTTACATATGAATTCTTATTGCATGATATTGTATATGATGGATGTTAATTACATATAACAGATGTTCACTTGTATATGATCACTTGCATATGACAAATATGTTTACTTGCATATGATGGATGCTCACTTATATATAACGAACCTAATTGCATATGAGTTATTATTGCATCTTATCATGTAATACAGAAGCTAATTATATATAACTAATGCTCGATTGCATATATGACAAATGCTATCTTTTATATGATGAATACTGCTCACTTGCATGTGACATATGCCTATTTGTACATGGATTCTTATTGCATGTTATTACATAATACGGATGCTAATGTATATCATGGATACTCACTTGGATCCGTCATAAGGATAATATGGTTTTCTAGGTCTCATTCCTTAATGAATTTGTCAAATGGGATTTGTCCCCTAATTTTTCCTAAATAAATTGAACGGCCCTCCTTTCTTACTGGTAGTGAGTTTGGTAAATGTGTTGGCAATAGAATGAACATTTTTACTATAAAATTATTATTGAAAGAGTTACGAATACCCTAAAAAATTGGGGAGTAATATAGTAGATAATCTTTTAAAACCAAATTGACTCAACATTAACAGTTGAAAAGGATAATACTATATCGGTTTTAAAATTTATGAGCTCTCTTGCTCCCTAAAGGCAGGGCAAACATTAACATTTAAACATAGTCACATGATTAATGGACTACTGGTCCCCAATCCCCAAAATTATTTTTTTCCCCCTTCCTTTACTAATTAAAATGAAAACTTGAGGTTCCAAAAAATAAAACCCAGTGAGGCTTGCCCCCATGGTCATTTGAAGAAAAATTTTCGGCCCTAGTGTCCAATGAGATCCGTCCCTGATGTTGTAAATGCATAGCATCAACCATGCAATTATCAACTAGACCAATTTTAATTAGCTTGAATTTTGTTATTATTATTTCAAACAAAATAAGGAATATAATATTTATAGCTCTACACAATAGAGATGGGAATGTAGGCTGCGGGTAGGCAACGCAAATTGAAAAAACCTGCCTCAAAATAGGGTAGCATAACTTACCCTTTTTAACATTTTCATATATATTTTTCCTAAAATTTTCAAATTGCATTACAAAATTTTGTTAAATTCAATTTATTTCTATTGGCCAAAAAAAAAATTTCTAGTTGGTTCTACATTTTTATATGATCCTAGGAGCCTGTTTAGGAACCCTATGGGAAATACGGAACAGCTTCATTAGAGTAAAAAAATTTAAAAACGCACAAGACCAAAATTAAAACCATAGTAGAAATTGTTTCATAGACAGAAGTTTTCTACCAAAAACACAAAGTAACAAGGCTTGTCAAATGTAAGTAACTGAACATAGCTTGGTCTTTTAAAAAGAACTTTTTAACCCTAAATGAATCTACAAATTAATCTATAATTAAAAAGCAAATACAGCGGGGATTTAATTGAGTACTTTTGAAATATAAGAGAGATAAATAATCTTAGGTCCCTTTGAATCATTGGAATTGAAGAATCTCTCTTTTTTTTAATTAATTTTTAATTTTACAAATAGTTGCTTTCACTCTTGATATTTGTATTACTCAAATTAAGTGAACACGTGATAATCAATATTTGACCAGGTTTTAAAACCAAATCCTCATGGAAACGATACTCTACTAATCACTTTATTACTTGTTACGACTTGTGCCCTTACGGTACAAACACATTCTAAGTATTTTTCTTAATTCTGTCCCTTCTTTTTCCTACTTGATTCTAGACACAATTTAATTTATGCACAATCAAATATTACATTTTCTATAATAGTGTAGATTGAGTTATTTACATTTGCATACAGTGCATAATATTTTTTTTCATACTTTAATTTTTTAATATTTGTAATTTAATAGATCGGACAAAAAACTAGAAGGGCATATCTCGTGTCCTTACCTACATTAAGTTATTAGGCACAATACAACTTTTGAAATATAATTACTTGGTGGTTGAGAAAGTTCTTTTTGCTATATATATATATATATATATATATATATTGCACTTTTTCCTTAACCTTTTCATTTGGATTCCAATGTCTGTGCATCAGTACTGGATTTTGTCATTTTTTAATGCATTAAGTGAAATTGATTTCTTTTTGTTTTTCTATAAACCACTGAATGCAAAATGGGATCCAAGCATATATAATTAATTATTATAAATTATTTAAGTTGGAAAAATAACATTGGGCACCTACCCACCT